AGCGGAGGCGTAAAAAAAAAAAAAACGGTCTGTTTGCACCATCTTGTGGTCAAAACGCTGTAGTTCAATACTGCTACAATACATGTCATGTTGTACCTTAAATCTGATATTGTTGCTTATGAGGATATTGCCCTTCATGAACTCCTTCTCATTGTCTCTGTTCTCGGTGACGACGGGGAAAGCGTGATAGACGGTGGTCCTCAGGATGCTGACCAGAGACTGGATACGGGTGTGAGGATACACATACGTCAGGTTGGGCTCCATGATGTCGCTGGCCGTTAATCTAACAGAGAGATCAAGAGAAATTAGTGGTAAAAAATACAAGAACTACAGTATCTGGAAACTTAAAAGTATGGATATCATTGCATTATATATATAAAAAAAATGTTCCAAAGAACTCGCATTAGATGACAAATAATGCTATGAAACGGAGACATTTTTAAGTGTAACTTAATATTCAAACACTTCTGGGCCACAAACTGTGGCCCATAAATTAAAATGGTCTCACTTGTCCATCTCGACCTCTGTTTCCCACTCCAGCAGTGGGACTCCCTTCAGGTGAATATGAATATCATATATTCCCTTATTAAAGAAATCTCCTGTCCACTTGGCCACCTGACAAAACACACAGTGCCAGTAAGTAGTGTACATTGAAGTTGTATTTTTTACATCATTAAACTCTAATTATGCTATATTAGGAGGACATTCATAAAGGATGTAGTCTGATATAATTAAAATTAGTGCTGGGCAACGATTAATCGCATCCACAATAAAAGTTTTTGTTTACATAATATATGTGTGTGTACTGTGTATATTTATTATGTATATATAAAGGTATACACACTCATACAGTACATATTTAGAAAATATTTACATGTATTTATTTATATTTGTATAACTTATTATATATAAATATTTAATATAAAAATATAACAATTTTCTTAAATATATACACATGCATGTGTGTGTATTTATATATACATAATAAATATACAAAAAAAAACAACAGGTATCAGAACTTGATTTGTGAATTTGTTTTCCTACCATCAGTGTTATCATAATGGGAAGTCCGTATGTGATCTCATTGGTGGATTCAATTAAGATGACTGTCAGGCTGATGGTCATTCTGACCACACCTCCTAGAAAGGCAGCTGCTCCAATCAAGGCAAAGGTCCCCGAATATATTTGCATGTGGAAGTTACTGCAATTGCACACATGAAAAACAACATAAGTGTAGGCTAAGAAATTATGATGCATAAGACACAATAAATACGTGTGTCCTGTTCCAACGGATGCCCTTGGTACTTCTTAAGAGATTGTAAACAGGAATAAATCTTACATCTTGAGGACATTGGCCACTAGGCGCCCAAGTGAAGCTCCACAGAGAAGAGACGGGACAAACAGACCACTGGGGACGGACACACCGTATGTCCAACAGCTCAGAAAAAAATACAGCACAAAGAACAGCAAGAGTGTGACGGGACTGAAGGTAGCTGTCAACAAAACCACACAAAGGAGGGAGAAAGAGACAGAAAAAGATGAGAAAATAAAGAGGTATAGTGATATGCACTTCTCAGAAACAATTTCTACAGAGAACAACACCATAGAGGTACAGGCAGGCTGTTTAATCAAACTTCATTTTCATGACTATGAAAACAAGATAAAAGTGATTATTCCATTTTGTCTTGTGTTATAAATCCAGCATGCCCTTTTCCTGTAAAGTACAGTGATTTCATAAATGAATAGTTTTCAGTAAGTTGTGGTAGGGGCACTGCAATTGATCTTACTTATTTTGATCTAATTTAATTAAGTGCGTGTGTGTGTACAAGATTTCTTTAAAGTTGTTCATTTGTAAAAGTGTTTACGTTTTAAAAGCTGTCTGTAAGCTCGATTACACAGTTCAGTGTCTGTCCAGAAATTAAACGTGTGTGTGTGTGTGTGTGTGTTTGAGTGTGCATGTTTATGTGGTTTATGAGGACACAAATTTGTATAATGACATGGGTATGACAACGAGAAGGTGATTTATGAGGACATTTTCAGTGTCCCTGTAATTCAAAAGGCTTATAAATAATTCAGAATGAGTTTTTTTGAAAATCTAAAAATGCAGAAAGTTTCCTGCAAGGGGTAGGTTTAGGTGTAGGGCGACAAAAAACACGGTTTGTACAGTATAAAAACCATTACGCCTATGGAGAGTCCCCGTAAACCATAAAAACAAACATGTGTGTGTGTTTGTGTGCGTGTGTATATATATTATAATTTATATACATATATATTTTTTTGTTTGTTTCTTTTTAGAAAAAGACAATTCCGTTTTTTTGGGGTAAAGTTTAAGGCATAAAGCTATATATTCTGAAATGCCTATGAAGAACCCAAGTTGCAGGAGAAAAGGGGGCAGTACAATCAACAAAAGCAAAATATGCTGTCGCGTGTGAATTAACACAAACAGATCATAAACACAGTAATTGTCTTACCGTTCTGGTGGAAGAGCTGGTGGATTGCCACCTCTTGAGGGTTGAAGAACAGGGTTGCCATGTCATTATATGTGTTGTTGTAGCAGAAGAAGCGTCGTATGGTTGAGTTCACCTCCTCATTTACAGACCCCTACACAGCAAACCATTACTGCACTTACGGACTGTCTGATGCATAATGCACACATAAACTACAACTTTATCAGGGATGGCAAGTTCTAATTTTATGAGAACAAGCTGCAGTGTGGACCAGGATGCATATCTTATATGCCTATATAGCAACCTATATCCTATATATAGGTTGCTATATAGGTATATAATGTGTGTATATCCTATATATCAGCAGTTGAATAGCGTGCTACTGTTATTTCATCTCAGCAAGTTATATTTACTTACAATGATCTGTACTTAATGCATTGCACTTAACATTTGTGAAACTTAAATCAGTATCATTGCTACCCAATGACATGTAACCCACCTTTAAATGACACATAAAATAAACTAACTATGATCGGTCATTGTATATGTCCGTCAAATGGTCTCTTCCTATATAACGGAGCTGTTCTTGGCCATATTGAGGACCAGACTGTACTGCTGTAGAACTCCTGACTATCAGCACATAGAAATCATATATTAAAAAAAAACCAGCAAAAGAGAGAAACAGAGAAATATAGGGGTAAAGGAAAGAATGAAAGACTGAAGTTAAAGGAGAGGAAGGAAGCTGGTCTGAGACTGACCTGTGTTGATGTGTTGTTATTGGTGGAGACTAAATCTCGACACTCCCCCAGAGTCACTGACGCTACGAAGATCACGAGTGTGGTCACCATACACACCAGCAGACTCTCCAGCAGCCTGCCAGTCAAACAAATACAGCGTCAGACAGCTACTCTCCTGTTATCGGAGCACTTCACTTCTCCAGTTGTTTTGAGTAGTGCGGTTCAATACGAATCCATATAATTGAGATCTCTCTCGGGTACCTGATGAATCTTGCTTTGGGGTGAACGTTTCTCATGCGGTACTTTGCGAGGCGTTTGTTGATGCAGTTGAAGAGAGCGCCGAGCAAACCACCTGCCACCCCCATCAACACAAAAAACGCCAAATCTACTGCCGTCCACAAATGACACGTCTTATCTCCGTCTACACACTGCAGAAAGCAAAGAAAAATAGGTTAACACCACACACCCAACTGATTTGTTTTTCCCAATAATTCCTGGATTACTTCGAAGTCCACACAAAACCCATTCACAAGTGACCGAATGTGGAGACTGAAAGTTAAGTTCACCGTCAATATCATGTTCATTTACCCCAATAGTTTTCATTCATTTTAATTATCACTGTAATGTGTATCACATTAATTAACTTTATATTACTGCTTTAACTATTTATTTGAAAAATGTTGCATTTCCTATAATAGAAGGCTAAAATAATAATGAATAAACTGCATTTTGACATTGGTAAACTATAATCAATAAACATAAAATAAACATTTTATAAACATTGGCCTAGTTGACATCAGGAGAAAATAATATATATATATATATTATATACACTGAACAAAATTATAAACGCAACACTTTTGTTTTTGCCCCCATTTTTCATGAGCTGAACTCAAAGATC